TGAAGGGAAGCCAAAACAGGAGAAATATGCTCTCTCTTTCTAGTCCCTGTCAGGACTCTTGCTGCAGCATTTTGGATTAGCTGAAGGCTTTTCAGTGAGTTTTTTGGACATCCTGATAATAATGAATTACAGTAGTCGAGCCTGGAAGTAATAAATGCATGAACTAGTTTTTCAGCGTCACTCTGAGACAGGATATTTCTAATTTTAGAGATGTTGCGCAAATGGAAGAACGCAGTCTTACATATTTGTTTAATATGTGCATTGAAGGACATGTCCTGGTCAAAAATGACTCCAAGGTTCCTCACAGCGTTACTGGAGGTCAAGGTAATGCCATCCAGAGTAAGAATCTGGTTAGATACCATATTTCTAGGCTTTTCAGGGCCGAGTACAATAACCTCAGTTTTATCGGAATTAAGAAGCAGAAAGTTAGCGGCCATCCAGGTCTTTATGTCTTTAAGACATTCCTGCAGTTTAACTAATTGGTGTGTGTTATTCTGGCTTCATGGACAGATAGAGCTGGGTGTCATCTGCATAGCAGTGAAAATGTATGCTATGTCTTCTAATGATACTGCCTAAGGGAAGCATGTATAATGTAAACAGAATTGGTCCTAGCACTGAACCCTGTGGAACTCCATAATTAACCTCAGTGTGTGAAGAGGACTCTCCATTTACATGAACAAATTGGAGTCTATTAGATAGATATGATACAAACCACTGCAGTGCAGTACCTGTAATACCTACAGCATGTTCTAATCGCTCTAATAGGATATTATGGTCGACAGTATCGAATGCTGCACTAAGGTCTAGCAGGACAAGCACAGAGATGAGTCCACTGTCAGAGCCCATAAGAAGATCATTTGTAAAGCTGTTTCTGTGCTGTGATGAGCTCTGAAACCTGACTGAAACTCTTCAAATAAACCATTCCTCTGCAGATGATCTGTTAGCTGTTTGACAACTACTCTTTCAAGGATTTTGATATGAAAGGAAGGTTGGAGATTGGCCTATAATTAGCTAAGACTGCTAGATCTAGAGATGGCTTTTTGAGTAAAGGTTTAACTACAGCCAGCTTGAAGGCCTGTGGTACATAGCTGATCATTAGAGATAGGTTGATCATATTTAAGATCGAAGAATTAATTAATGGCAGGACTTCTTTGAGCAGTTTTGTAGGAATGGGGTCTAAAAGACACGTTGATGGTTTGGAGGAAGTAATTATTGAAGTTAACTCAGAAAGATCAATTAGAGAAAAAGAGTCTAACTTTTGTTAGACAGGAAAATGATGTTGTTTTGGCTGCGTTATTCAGAAAGGGGAGAAACAACGGGGCCAGGCCCTGTGTCAGCCTTCTCTCCCCCTTTTTTTGTTTTTTCTCACCATATAATCAACTCATGACCCACCAAGTTGACAGGACAACACAGGTGCATGTTAAAATTCTTAAGATCGTGTTTAAAACCCCAAAAATGGAATTTTCTTTCATTCAGTAATCACTTGTATTAATCAATCAGCAGAAAACATGTCACAATTTGACTCTTTTAACCACTAAATTTGACGTGTCATCACTGGTTGGTCAGACCAGTGTCTTTTTTTTGAAGTTAAGTTGTTGTCCTGCAATCCAGAGAGTTTATTTGTTAGTAGTGGATAAACTTTATCATTTAACAACAGGTGTATGTTAAGTTTCGCTGCTTTAACCTTGCTGGAAAATCTTCACATGTTCATGAATGTAAGCTGTTTCTTCATTGCGTGTGTGTGCGTTTGTAGGTGGGTTAATTTAACTTTTTTCTCAAACAAGGCATTTCTCTAACACGTGCCTTTCTCTCACATTTCTCTGCTTGTGTGTGTTTTTGTTTCACCTTTTGTTGTGATGCTCCGGACACCTTCCCAACCTCCACAAGTCTGTTGGCCCCAATTTTATGTGTTAAAACTTCTCTTAATTTCTCCTCTAATTCTCTGCTAGCTGCTGTCTTTTCCACAGCTGCTGATTCTTGCTGAGTGTGGTTTCCATTACTATAATTTTGCTTCGGCCACTGTGCTTGTGGGGGGCAGTTGGTCCAGGCCCGTAGCCTCCTGTATCAACACACTAAGAGATTTATTTAATATCATTTTCATCACTGTTAAATAGACCAGCAGGCAACACGCCCACCTTTACAGTGCAGACTACATGCCAGTCTCCCAACACACTCCTCTCTCTACTTCTCAATAATTCTCCACTCTCCCTTTATTTCTCCTTTCTCTACGTCAGTTTTAAAAACCCAACATATTTCACACCACAAAACTGAAACAAATCACCCCCGTATTTATCACACAATCTTACTCTGCCGACTGAAGTGCCGGTCTAAATCATGCACGATTTGTCTCTTCTATATCAAAACCCAGCCAAACATCAAACATTCATCGTAGTCATTCAAAACCTTATTTGTAATATTATAATCAGCAAAATCAGCGTTTTAATTACAGGCATGTATCATTGTTTGCAAATCATAATTATAAAACTCAATAACACGCTAAACAGCAAGCAAAAGTCGTCTGTGCGCTTGGCCTGTAAATGGCCTGTATTTATATAGCGCTTTACTAGTCCCTAAGGACCCCAAAGCACTTTACATATCCAGTCATCCACCCATTCACACACTGGTGATGGCAGCTGCATTCTAGCCTCAGCCACCCTGGGGCGCACTGACAGAGGTGAGGCTGCCGGACACTGGCGCCACCGGGCCCTCTGACCACCACCAGTAGGCAACGGGTGAAGTGTCTTGCCCAAGGACACAACAACCGAGACTGTCCGAGCCGGGGCTCGAACCAGCAACCTTCCGATTACAAGGCGAACTTCCAACTCTTGAGCCACGATCGCCCCAGCTTCACAGCAGCCACCTCATTTGCATGTTCACATACCGTCTAAAAATAGCTCGCAGCGCTGCAGCTGCACATTACACACAGTCTCATTTCACACACAACTCTGTTATTTTATATTACAAAGACGTCCTATATTTACAATCACTCTCAGGCCTGACAGCTTTAGCGCCTACACAATTTTGACAAATTCAAGTTAACGGGTCCAACCGAAGAAAGTCCAACTTTTTTGTAATCAATTAACCAGTATCAGACTCTAACTGTATCTGGCCTAATCTCTAAAGTCCCTAACTCAATTTAACAGTGTCCAAAAAAGCGCAGATACCGTTACAAACGGTAAGGAGACTCTAACTCCTAGCTTATTCCAGGATGCCCTGTACCCCACAGTTAAGCCAAACTGAACTAACTCGCCGACAGGTCAAGGTCGCGCGTCCACTGCCAGGAGGGAGTGTAACCTCCGGGCTATGCGCTTCTTAGCAGACTCTAATAATAATTTATAACACTTTGAAACAACAGTCAGCACCCCAAAACAAGAGTCTGACTGAGGCAAGTGCAACCTAGAGGTCAATGGAGACTCTAACTCACAAAATGACCACTCAGGTTCACTCTTATAACCAATTTGGACTCTAACCAACAAAATGACCAACTCTCTACCAAACTACTTGGGACTCTAACCCAATTTCTTAGCAGACTCTAACTGCTTTAACTTCTTCTTAGCAGACTCTAACTGCTTTAACTTCTTCTTAGCAGACTCTAACTGCTTTAACTCATGAGATTTTTCATCAAAATCAAAACAGACATCCACCAGTAATTTCAGTGAGTAGACTTTAATTTTATCATGTCCAATTTGGCACACTTTGGAAATAGATTCAACAGGTAGTGCCTTACCTTTGTAAGCCGGCTTATGCCCACTCACGTCAGACCACTGGCTTGTGCCTGTCCGTTCGACAACCTCGGACCGTCCAAACCTCCAACTTCCACCCCAATACCACAGGACGAGCCCCCAAACTGTTACGGATTCAAATATTGGGGATGGATACAAGAGGAAAAACCACAATAACAACACTGGTCCGGCCGGGTTGAGTCGAACGATGATTTTAATGATCACACGCGTGGGAGATGGACACCGTACACAGACAGCATCAGATCTCAAAATGGTGGAGCATTGATTAAACTCTTATAGCCTCTAGTGGCCCCCACCTTATCAGAAAAGCCTAAACATTCACATTCTTTCTCTCACACGGCGCCTAAGCTACGACCTTGGCTCCCTGTTTATCTGCTCCTGCTGAGATGGGGCAGAAAACTCCAGTATGTTCTGTTCTCTTCTAATCAGACAAATAAGGCAATGACTTTCTGCGAACAGCATTTCTTATAACTCAGCAGTATAATGCATCATAAAACAATATCATTCATTCACAATAAATCAGCAGTCTAATGTAATGCAAATCAGTTTAACAAATGCAATAGTTATCACCTTCTTCTAATTCAGGAGAATAATGCAAACTAAAACTACATAATAATTCACAATCTTCAATTAGGGGTATAACATGGCATAAAATAATATTATAATCCAACAAAACCTAAATAAAACAAATTAAATATACAGGAATGTCTTCATTTTCAGTCATTAAAATCAACCAAATTTCTCCAACAAAACAAACACTGAGGTGGCACTGGTTTGTTTGTGTTGGGCAAACAAATAGGAAGTTCACTCTGCTTTGTACTTCTTAAATCTTATAACAGGAAAAATGCCCCATCTAAATACATTTTTAAAACTAAAACGAAGAAACTAATAACATTGAAACCTGACAAATAATACAGAAAGAATGAAAAAAAAAATTTATTGCCATCGTGCAAAAGGAAAAATAAATCTTTGTCTAGGGTTTGAAGAAGAATGTCATTGTGCAAGAGCTGTGTAAACAATCCCATCCAAGAACTTCAGTCACCGCAGTCTCAAAATGGGCTTTCCACTTGTCTGACTGACTGCCTCTAACCCCCCCCCCCCCTCCCCCCCCACACACACACACACGCACACACATCCTTTTCTTGATCTTTTTTTGCCTCACTGACCAAACATCCATGTAAGACAAGTTTGTTGATTGCTTCTGGGTCCTCTCTGCCAAATTTCTAATATGAATGATCCTCAATACATGTGTGACAGGAACAGCAGCACATATGCACTGATGTGGAAATCTCATCCGAAGGTATAGACGATGCGTCGGCAAAGATGGGACAACACAACAAGAGGTTTGTCCTTTCTCATTTTTAACCAAAGACACAGTGTTTCTTCATTTCTTCTGAATCACCAGCTTTTCTTTTGTGAGCCATTTGTTCTAACATTTATGACCTCTCTCCTTACTCCCCTTATCTGTGTGTCAACAGCTTGCTGGAAAAGAAAGTGGAGGCACTCCAGGGCTATATGGCAAAGCACAAAGACCAGATTCACCTGATTAGCCAGCTAGTTTTAGCTGCTGGTAAATTATCTGTGTTTGTATCTGTTAAAGTGTAACTCAGGTCCCTAAGTAGGTTATAGTTGTATAGGGCTAAAATACAAAGGCATAAAAGGAGAATCTATTTCTAATTTTGTACAGAGTTGTAAAGGGCTGTTAAATTTACAAATTAGCCTAACAGGTGAGTGGACCTGCATGTTCTTTGCCTTTAGAGCAAATTGATGTGAGCATGTTTTTGTGGAACAGACTGAAAAAGTAAAAGTTTAATTTACTACAAATCGCTTTCATTGTCAGTGGAAAAATCAAGACTTGGTTTATCAGAGTATGTGCGGTGTGTACTAAAAGGACTTGTCAAGGTCTGTCCAGGCAGACACAAAATGACATTTCGCATCCCACGAATGGTACCGTGACACCTTATTGATTCAAAGATAACAACACACCAAAATTTAGGCAATTATTTATTCCATTATCTGAGTCCCTTTGTAGGATATCTGCTTTTCAAAACACCTGGCTTGTTAATCTTTGACTGTATAAAAGGTTAAAAGTTTAGTTAATGTTTTAGCACTGATGATGACCCCAAACCTGCTTTTCTGCCAGGTGGTGAGTACTGAATACATCTAGTGGTGAGTGCCATCATTCAAAAATTCAGGATAGGAGTGTGTGGAGTACATGTAGATAATATGAGCTTTAATGAAACACGTTTTTTCATCTCAATTCATCTTTAGTAGATAATAGATTCCAGCTCAAAACACCTTGTCATGAGTCCATAATACAAAAATAACCAGAGTAGGGAATTGAAATGTAAAACGATCTTTTTAGCGTGCACAGGCTTTAAAGTACATTCTATGGTTTCCAGCCTTTTTCACGTGCACCCCCACGTCAATTTTTCTGACATCCTTTTACTTTCACTGTCTACATCTTAAAAACAAATATCTTTACTTAATGCTCTGTTCTTCCACTTTAGAACAGGCTTGCTACTGATTACTTCACACACATTCTTGATATCAAACTGATTTGAATATAAATGGAGGGACCAATAACATATAAAAGATGATCTTACGATGTTTCAATCTGTTGTGGTTATTACACTTGATTGAAGTAAATTGATGTAGATCTAAAAGGAAAAAAAAACATACCATCATGTTAAAAAAAAGGGGTTTTTTTTTAGAGTGGTGCTGAAAATTTATTATGCCCTTGATGCTTCTATAGCAAGGGTAGTTCGCAGGCAGGTGCTGCTAATCAGATGTACTTGATTAACTGATGATCAGCAAGCCTGAGCACCTCTGCAGTTTTTGGCAGTTTGCTGGTCTGTAGCATTCAGGCGTGTGTTAACACAATCTTCCCAGGAATGGACATCCCCATCAGTTCACCCCAAGGTCAAACCAGACAATACTCAGAAAAAAACGTTTATTGAAAAAAAAAAAAAGTAAAGTGTTAAAATTAATGACATTACAATTAGAGGAAAAAACTGAACAAGTGACTTGCTTAGAAGGGCTGCCAGGAGAGAGTTTTTTCCCTCGACAAAGAACACTGCAGCACAGCTTAGGTTTCTAAAGCTGCATTTAAATAAACCAAAAAACCTCTTGAACGCTGTCCTTTGGTAGATGAAACCAAAGTGGAAATGTCTAACCATAATGCACAGCATCACATCAGGCAAAAACCAAGCACAACATATCAACGCAAACACCTCACACCACCTTTCAAGCATGGTGGTGGAGTCATGATATGGGCTTGTTCTGACACCACTGAACCGGTGCACATTGCTAAGTGGCGCTGTTTGTAAGCTGAATATATATATTTAAAATACAATTTTTAAACATAAAAAAAATCTCTCCCCTGATGGTCACATCTCACTGCTATGAGCCATTTTGTCGTTGTAAATTTGCATGTTAGCTAAATATCTAGTTTCCCGTAACATTTAGATTTAACATTTAGACTTAACATTTAGATTTAAATATAATACTAAGATTAAACTTTTAACATTTAGTTTTAAATATAATACTTAGATTTAACATTTAAAATTGTATTTTAGATATAAAAAGTTACAAATATTTTAGTAAATGTTGTAAAAAATGACTCGAAAAAACATGTTTTTGTAAGCTTTTGAGATAAACGTGGAAAAATGTTGCTGTTAATTGCAGCATGTTTCAGTTTACAAAAGGTGCCCCATACCTTGCAGCTGAACATAAACTCCTCTGTATACCAAGTATTATACAACCAAATGTGAGGTCATCTATCCAACACTTAAAGCTTGGCCCAAATTGTCTCAAACAGCAAATATACAAAAGTCTGGCTGAAAAAGAAAAGAATTAATGTGTTGGTGGCAGTGGCCAGACCTATGGCTGGACTTTTAAAAAGCTGTGCATAAATAAATAGCTGTAAGTACTTTTAGCAGCATCATAAAAGGAAATGAAAATGTTTGTCTGTTAGCTTAACACATAAATAGCTGCCTTAAAAGTCCTTCAAAGGATTACATTTAAATGCTGAATACATTTGAGAACATGTACTTTTTTACTTTTATTTGAGTAAAAAAGTTTAATCATGAATTCCATTTGTAAACAATTATCATACTCTGAGTGGAAAAAAAAATCTTACACCACCTTTGATAAAATACATTAATTCATTCTTCTTTACCTATACATTTTAGCTATTTATAGTATAGTTTGCATTTTAATGTTCAGGTAACAATTGAATTTGTTTAATCATGTTACTAGCTAAGCTAATTAGCTAATTAGATACAAAACAGATAATGCAGTAGTCTAAATAAAAACATTTCATTAACATGTCAGTAGTCTGAGGGTCATGCGAGGATGTAACACATTGATTCTATATTTGTTTCAGGCTTTGTTGCCATGGTGATAGCGGCATGTGTTGTGAACTTCCATCGGGCTGTTGGGCTGCTGGTCATCTCCTTGGTAACCATTTTTTTCCTGGTCTGGGATTGGATGATGGAACGATATGGTGAGCAAGTGTGGGAGGCTCTTGCTCCTATCAGAGACCTTCTCAGCAGGAACTGGTGTGGGATCAGATGGTGAGAAATGAGGCAAATCATATTTCAGCCTTTCTGCTCCCATGTGCACCTTCTATGACAAAGGAACTGGGCACCTAGGGGTTGGCCAGGTGGGCTGAGAGAACGGATCTTTTCACCATAATGACACAGGAAGAAAAAATGTGAGGGACTGTAAAGATAGCATACCAAAAATCCCTCGTTGATGTGAATGATGTGCGAGACAGTTCAGCATGTGGAGGGTTTCTTAGTTTTCTAAAAATCACGGCATCCTCAGACGGATAAAGTTTCTGATTAGTGAGACTGACATGAGTGTTGCATTAAACACAATAAAATGATTTGCTGAAATGCACCCCACCTGGATAATTTTAATTTTCTTTATCTTGTAGATGGTAAGCAATGATTTAAATATATATATACTGCTTTATTATTCATAACATCAATGCTTGACCTACAGTACAGCCTTTGGCTTATGTCTACAAACCATATTACATTCTTTTAAAATCCTGTTCTGTCTAGCAGCTTTTGCGATCAGAATTATGATCTGAATGCACTGTCATGTTAAAAACATAAATTCTCTGCACACTCCTCTAGTTCAGGGTTTATCTCTTTATGTCTTCATTTCTATTTGTGTCATTTCAGATATATGTGGTATACTGTATGACAATGACTAAGGCAGGACAAGCAGAAAAAAGGGGGCGGGTGAAATAAAGAAATGTACAACGTATTGCCAACTGCCACTCCCGTAAGAAAAACAAACATACTGTCACGGTGAGTTGTGTGGCTGTCAGTGACTGGACCCACGTGCAGGACTCGGAGACAAAACATTAACTTAAACGACGGCTTTATTTGCTGGAGAGTCACCTTTGGACGATACATAAACAACAACTTAAACTAACTAGACAGGAGATGCTGAAGGAAGACGACCATGGATACACACACAACAAACGTGGAGGACGCAACAACTGGCAGGGAAAAACACAGGGCTTAAATACATACTGAGGTGATTAGGGAATGTGAAACAGGAGGAGAGCACAGCTGGGACTCATCAGACATGACAAGACAAGGGGAGGCAAAACTCAACACATTGACATAGTACACAGACTTTCAAAGTAAAACAGGAAACTGAACAGACGTGGACTAAACTAGGGGATACAGTGACAGAAATCAAACCCAAGAGAATCAAAACACATCATGAAAACAAAGATAACTAATACAAACAGAAGTTTTTCTGTTTGTATTAGTCCACAGACTCAGGACCGTGACAGTACCCCCCCTCAAAGGGCTGGCGCCCGACAGCCCCAAACAAAAAAGGCACAAAGCACCAGGCCAGGGTGGGCGGAGGGGGCCCAGGACGGAGGGACAGAGACCAAACAAAAAACAAGGAGCACAAGAGACCAGGGGCCCGTTCTTCGTACCTCGCTAAGTAGGTTAGCCGGATTAGATTGTTGACGATTTCGCGTGATCCTGGATCAGTCGGTTCCCCGAAGCTCATCCGGGACTTGCTGTCATAGCAACAGAGCCGTAAGCGTAAACCTGCTCGGGAGCAGGTTTACTTTATGTAAACAGGATTAGATCGCGGCCACGCAGGTATGTCCGCGTCATTCATACGAAAGCAACAGCGATATTCCACCACTGTTTCACCATAAATAAATAACATTAATGTAACTAAAGATAATGCAGCACTTGATCCTTTTATTGATTTCACACAGATACATACAGGTCATTTCCTAAAAAAGGGAAATGTACTATTAACACTCTATTACATGTATGTGATTATTACAGATGTAATTCATATTTCAGAGTAGCAATTGTAAATTACTTTGTGTAATCAAGATGAGAGACCACGGCTATAAAAGCGAAGGTGGATTTGGGAAGTCTGTCGCAGTCATATCCTGTCCGTTTACGCGAGCAACCCATTGCGGAAGGTGCAAGATTGATAAGGAGAGTCCTCAGAATTCAGCGTATATTGCGGGACAGACAGGATCCTTTAGCTCAGCGCGACAGTGTGCTCATAGAGAGATATCGATTTTCCCGTGAGGGTATTATTCACTTAACCAACTTGTTGACGAGGGGTGCAGGACCACCACCTGTCTTTTTTTTGCTCTGCCCTTTTCTTGGTTGCTGTATGAACAAACAAACAGATTATTTCAGGGTCTCTTTCCAAGAGACGACAAGCAATATAAGTGATAATATTACCATTCTGTAGAATATTCTTATATTTCACTTTTACTTGTTCCCATGTTCTAGTGGGTCCTGTTGTGGCTCTAATGTGAAAGGGGTATAATATAACATATTATAATATAATATAATGTAATATAATATTGGATAATATGGTGTGATATGATAAATCTACCCTACCGCCTACTGGTGTTGGCCAGAGGGGCCGATGGCGCAATATGGCAGCCTGGCTTCTGTCAGTCTGCCCCAGGGCAGCTGTGGCTACAACCGTAGCTGCCTCCACCAGTGTGTGAATGTGAGAGTGAATGAATAGTGGCATTGTACAGCGCTTTGGGTGCCTTGAAAAGCGCTATATAAATCCAATCCATTATTATTATTATTATTGAATTACTTACGAGTTTGATTTGTCAGCAACTTTCTGCCAGCCCTCTCTCCTTGCTTTTGCAGCCTTTGCAGTGTTCCCTTGCGTTTTAATTAAACTCTGAAACTCCTGAAATCCCTCACTCAAGAGTTCTTGCTCTGCTGCCGGAAAATACCGAGCACGCCCCTTCGACATTTTCGCCGACCAATCAGCGGGTTGCCGATCAATGTTTCTACTATCGATGCGTAGCCCCATTTACGACACCCAGTGATGTCACATTCCTGCGTCCAGCTGTAGTAATCGTCAACAGCAGGTGTGTTCGGGGAACCGGATTAGCGAGCTCACGGTTAGCGCGATGATTTGATCTTGGATGTGTCATTTGATCTTGGATGTAGTAAGCGACGTACGAAGAACGGGCCCCAGAACAAACCAAAAACAGGTCAACACAAAACAAGACTATCCACGAGTCCATAGCAAAGTCCGGGAGTCGACAACACAAGAGCCGAAACAGTTCAGGGGGCCGACCATGCACACGGCAACGGCGGCAACGGGCAAACAGTTCTGGAGGCCGGCCGTGCACACGGCAACGGCGGCGACGGGCAAACAGTTCTGGAGGCCGACCACTCGAAAGGCAGTGGTGGCCACTGAGCAGGTCCGGAGGGCGGCCGCGATGCCAGTGGTGGCGACGAACTCCTTCCGGAGGCCGTCCCCGAAGGCCATGATGCCAACTTAGCTGCCTGGAAAACAGCTGGCAGAGGCGAGGCGGAACAGGTCGAGCTGGCACCGACGGCGGCGTGGCAACCGCAGGACCAGACGAGGCAGGACCAGACGAGGCAGGACCAGACGAAGGCGGAGCTGAAGCTGGACCAGACGAAGATGAAGACGCGGAGGCCGGACCAGACGAAGATGATGAGGACGCGGAGGCCGGACCAGGCGAAGATGATGAGGACGCGGAGGCCGGACCAGGCGAAGATGATGAGGATGCGGAGGCCAGACCAGGCGAAGATGACGGCAGCGGGACGGCTGCGGAACCTGACGGCAGCGGGACGGCTGCGGAACCTGACGGCAGCGGGACGGCTGCAGGAGGTGATGTGGAGATGTGCTGGCTGGGTCCTCCAGGACCACCAGCAGATGTGAGGATGTGCTGGTTGGGTCCTCCAGGACCCTCAGCTAACGAGGCGTGGGGCTGGACGGGGTCCTCGCGCCCTCCAGCAGACGTGGCATGAGGCCGGACGGGCTCCTCGGGCCCTCCAGCAGACGTGGCATGAGGCCGGACGGGCTCCTCGGGCCCTCCAGCAGACGTGGCATGAGGCCGGACGGGCTCCTCGCGCCCTCCAGCAGACGTGGCATGAGGCCGGACGGGCTCCTCGGGCCCTCCAGCAGACGTGGCATGAGGCTGGACGGGCTCCACGGGCCCTCCAGCAGCCGACACTTGAGGCTGGCTGGGTTCTCCTAAACCCCCAGCAGACGAGGCAGGTCGCTGGTTGGGTTCACCTGAACCCCCAGCTAACATGACGTGAGACTGGACGGTTGACTGAAACAGAAGTTGTAGTGGTGGTCGTGATGATGGTCGTGCTGGGTGTAGTGATGGCTGTTGAACATGCAACAGAGCAGGAAACCGACTCTCAGCAACTCCTCTCCGGGGAACAGGGACGGGTACTGGGCCTGGTCGAACCTCAGCCACCGCCACCTGAAGAACAGATACAGGGCCAGGGAAGAGCTGTGTTCTGGCTGCCGTACCCTGGGGGCCGGTGTGGGTGCAGCAGCTAGCTGGACCGCCGCTGCTCCCACCGAGGAGCTGAAACGGGTGCAGGAGTCAGCGGGGTCTCAGTTGCCCCCACCCAGGGAACCAGAACAGGCACAGGCCACGACCGGGCGCCCACCATCCCCGCCCGTGGAGCAGATACAGGTGCAGGGATGAACGGAGCGATAGTCTGCCTGGGAACTGGAACCGGACGCGGAGAGCAGAGCAGAGGAGCTGTAACAGTCACTGGGAAAACCAGGTTTATGGTACCAGACATGGTTCTAGAAAACCGAGACTTACGGCAGGCTGACCTTGGTAAAACCGCTATTCTTAAGTTGTCCAGGTTGACGTTAGCAGTCTTAGAAAAAACGAGTTCAGGGGCAGTCACAGGTGCTGGAGGAATTATACAAGCGGTATCTGAAGAAACTGGGTGTGAAGCAACATAAAACACAGTCTTACAAAACGCAGCCTGGGAAGTTGCACACACAGTGTCCAGGGCTACTGGCTGAAAAGCACGGCGCACAGAGTCATACAAACATGATCGTGGATCCGAAACTTTAACTTGAGCAACCACTTCTGCAGTGTTCAAACCAAGTATTTTTGCCAGCTTGGTAACAGCAGATGACACCTGGTTGGTCTTAACCTGGACAGTCACAGGACGTATAGTCTGGAAGAGTTCACAATGAGCAACACAAACAGTCTTTGAATAAGCAGACTCTAGGCTTCTGAAATTTAACTCGGGGGAGGTTATGGAAACATGAGGTTTATCATAGGAAGCCTCAGAATGAACTGGCTGGTGAGCCGCGTAAACCATGGGTGAAGCAACACCAACAACAGCCTCATGAGGTGTAGCCTGCACAGCATAGATGGAATGTGGCTGGGAAATTGAACTGTCCCTGTTTAGTTTAGCAGTAAGAGGAATAGTCTTTTGAGCTGCATCTTTAATGTCCCGAGTGAGATCATGATTGTCCAAGTCAGAAAATTTCATAACAGATTCACATATATAATCTACATCTGGAAACTCACTATTAACTGATCCAAAAACAGATGGCTCGGAATCAACATAACCTGCCTGAGAATGGTAAATGGACTAGTTCTTATATAGCGCTTTTCCACTCTTCTGAGCACTCAAAGCGCTTTACACAACTTGTGCATTCACCCATTCACACCCATTCGCACAAGCGACATTCACACTCCGATGAATGCATCGGAGAGCAATTTCGGGTTAGTATCTTGCCCAAGGATATTTGGCATGCAGACTAGGGGGAAGCCGGGAATCGAACCACCAACCTTCCGATCAGTAGATGACCTGCTCTACCACCTGAGCTACAGCCACCCAAGAGAAGCGAAAACAGAAACCCCAGTCTTTTCAGAATGAAACCCAGAAACACCACTCTCAGTTACAGGACAAAAACCTCTTTTGACTCTGAAATAAGGTCATCTGATTCCTGAATATTCTCAAACTTTGAAGAAACAAAAGAGGGAAGATTAGAATGCTCAGAGTCCCGAAAGACAACCTCAGAGTCAGCCACCTTGGGATCATCAGTTTCTGTCATTGCAGACCCTGAGTTAACAGTCAAAAAGTTAACCGACTCCGAATTCGCCGGCTCAGAGCTGGAAATTCCCAGCGTGGAAGAAGCCGGGTGACAACTGTTCTGTTCACTCACCACGTCCAGCAGTTCAGAACTGGACTCGGGTTGCGGTGAGGGACGGCGACAATGAGAACGCCGCTTTCTCTTAGAAACCGGAGCGACAGAAAAAACGGAGAGTGTCGGAGCAACAGTGACTGGTCCCTCATCCTCTGACCACATTCCTGCCAGGCATGAGGCAGGTGAGGGGTGGTCGGAACCAGACGTGAGGGAGGAAGGAGTCCGATGCTGCGACTTCAGCTGCTGCAGAGGGGCTTTAGAATGTTCCGCCTGCTGCGGCGGCATGAGAAGGCTTGCTAGCTGTGACTGAGGCAGTGTGGATGAGGAGATGAGGGTGAATTGGGCCAGCTCCCGGGCTTTGACTGCCTCCTTAGCCTGGGTCAGCGAACGGCTGAACTCCGAGGCAATAGACAGCTTGCGCAGTTGAGGATTTCTGTCAAATATGGTTTGTATTGCATTCAGCCCGACTGAGAACGTCTGCAAATCTGAGGCGTGGCTAATGCGAGTCATCAGTCCGAGGATGCGAGCAAGGTCCACCTCTCTCTCAACGTGAGCTGAGTCCGCTGGGTCCATGTTATGGTTGCGTCCTTCTGTCACGGTGAGTTGTGTGGCTGTCAGTGACTGGACCCACGTGCAGGACTCGGAGACAAAACATTAACTTAAACGACGGCTTTATTTGCTGGAGAGTCACCTTTGGACGATACATAAACAACAACTTAAACTAACTAGACAGGGGATGCTGAAGGAAGACGACCATGGATACACACACAACAAACGTGGAGGACGCAACAACTGGCAGGGAAAAACACAGGGCTTAAATACATACTGAGGTGATTAGGGAATGTGAAACAGGAGGAGAGCACAGCTGGGACTCATCAGACATGACAAGACAAGGGGAGGCAAAACTCAACACATTGACATAGTACACAGACTTTCAAAGTAAAACAGGAAACTGAACAGACGTGGACTAAACTAGGGGATACAGTGACAGAAATCAAACCCAAGAGAATCAAAACACATCATGAAAACAAAGATAACTAATACAAACAGAAAAACACTGAGTCCACATACTCAGGACCGTGACACATACAACACCAGGTGTGTGAGTGTGAGGGAGAGAAAGAGAGTGTGTTTTTGTCACGAAATGTACTTGATAATGAAGGTGAGAAGCTTCAATAATGCCCCCCAGGAGCCAGAGGCAGACAGAGATGGATCCAGGAAAAACCGGGCCATCTGCAGCCCCAAGAACGCTGAAGACCTGGGGCCAAACTTGTCAGCTATATCTGAGCACCCATCTCAGCAAGAGTAGGAGGGAGACCCAATGGTGCACCAATGGCCAATGGCTGGGAGTCCCAGGGGTGATGGGTAGCCAATGCCGCTAGAGGCCGGCCAACCCGGTGCAAGTCAAGATCAGGGTACCCCCACCACCACCCACCAACCCACCCCCGCTTTTCTTTATTAAACCTTGTAACACTGACCTATGAATCTTTCAAGGACCTAAAAAAAAAAAACCCCACTTAACTTCAACATAGATTGTAAGCTGCATCTAAACTGTATGCTTTCTTACTAGCAGCTTGTCACAAGAACACATCATTTGTTCTCAATGTAAATACAGTATGTGCGGAAGAGTTTAGAAGAGCGATATAACTGTGAGTGTCTACAGCCATCTGTAAAATATGGGTTTGGGCCACATTTCAGCTGGTGGTGTTGGGGATCCTGTCAAAATAACATTATGAAGTCAGAAAAGTATGATCAGATTCTGATCAACCAATCAACACCATCTGGAAAGTATCTGATTGGCAACAGCTTCATTTTTCAGCATGATAATGATGACAAACACACTGCTGATGCAGTAAAAGCATACCTGGATAGAAAAACACACAGTGGAACATAATCAGCTAAGGATTAGCATCCCTAGAGCCTGGACATTAACATTATTGAAGCAGTGTGGGATCATCTTGACAGAGAACAGAACAAAAGGCAGCGTGTCTGTGAAGGTTCTCAGTCATCGTAGTCAAAGGAGCTTGCAAAGAGAAGCGTCTGGACTTCTTTAAGTTGCTTGAAGACGTTTCACCTCTCATCCGAGAAGCTTCTTCAGTTCTAAGGTCAAATGGCAGAGAGTCCCAGATATAAACCTAGTGGGAGTGACCCCCCACAGAGGGACAAAAGGACCCCCTGATGATCCTCTAATCGCCTGAGCCAAGGTGGGAAACTGGGCGTGGGTCCCAATCAGCCAGAGTTTCGGGTGTGTTCATTGTGAAACCTGGCCCCACCTTATCATGCGAATTCATCTGACCTCAGGAATTCATCTGACCTCAGGAATTCATCTGACCTCAGGAATTCATCTGACCTCAGGAATTCGCATGATAAGGTGGGGCCAGGTTTCACAATGAACACACCCGAAACTCTGGCTGATTGGGACCCACGCCCAGTTTCCCACCTTGGCTCAGGCGTCATCAGGGGGTCCTTTTGTCCCTCTGTGGGGGGTCACTCCCACTAGGTTTATATCTAGTGGGAGTGTATCTAGCTCCTTTGACAACAAAAGGCAGCCAACATCCAAAGATTAGCTTTGAACGTCCTTCGGGAAGCCTGGAGAACTATTCCTTAAGAGTACTTAAAAGAAATGACAAGAAGGCCTGCCAAAGAGTTCAGGTGGAAGAATACAGGTGGTCAGACCAGATATTGACTGTTAACTCTGGTTTTGCCTTATGTACAGTATTTTTATTTATGTTTGCACATTCTAGTAAATCACTGCACCCATTTCCAGATTTCCTAGAAAAACGTAAAGAAATGAGAGTTGGTTCAAGATTTTGCACAATAGTGTATTTGTTCTGTTTCTAAGCTGACACAAATTTAGGTATATAACAGTATTATACACATAACGTGGAATACACACTGCATACTATAGTGTTTGTACAGAGTCTGTGTGTTCTTCTCTCTGAATTCCTCCACTTCCCCTCTTTCTTTCTCTTTCAGGATAATATATATGTCAGTGCTCGTAGCCGTGGTGTGCTGGCTTGCTCTGGACACGGCCCAGCGGGGGACTAGACAGCTGGTATCTTTCTTCGGCTTGCTGCTGTTCGTCTTCTTAACACTCCTGTTCTCCAAACACCCCTTCAGGGTAAAAGACGGACATACATGCTTACAAATGCATAAATGCACAAATTCACACACGTATTTTTGCACATAGACAAATGTATTTTTCATGTGTGTTGCAGTGGTCTTGGCAAACGCTGGTTTTTGGGACTGGGCTGCAGTTTATCTTTGGCCTTCTCATTCTCAGGACCACTTTTGGTTTAGGTGCACTGCGGTGGCTTGGAAACAAAGCAGAGGTGTACACACAAATATATTTAAACACACACACATCCTTTTTTTAGTGGCTTGTATGGTTGCGTTTGGTAAATTTGCAGATGTAGCAATCACTGCTTTTCTAAAACAAATGTTCCTCCTGCATATATTTGACATTTAATCTTAAGATGATGGAAACACTACATTTAAAATGTAAAAAAAAATCATCTGTTACAATTTTCTTTTTTCTGTTGCTGAAAACTGAACATCTCTATGCAGGCGTTTATGTCCTTCACAGATACCGGATCAAAGTTTGTGTTTGGTGAAAGTTACACGGACCACTTCCTTGCCTTTAAGGTATGACGATCCAGTGAAACCGCACATGTGACTAAATGTGTTTAAAGGACAATCTAGTTTTTAATATCAAGGTATAAACATAACTAGAAGCATTACAAATATTTTGCTGATTGTGGACTCTCTGCAGGTGATGCCAATACTTGTATTTTTAAGCTCTGTCATCTCCATGCTCTACTACATTGGCTTCATGGCCTGGCTCATTTGTAAGGTGAGAATGGAGGAGAGCACAGACACAAAAAGACATGCTGTATAAGGAGTCAGATGAATTGTTTCAAAGCATTATTTTAGAAATAAGACTGTTGACTGTTATAGTAACAGACAGCACGGAATGAGAATGTATATTAATAATAATAATGATAATGATAGTGTTATATTTATCACATTATTATTATTATTGTTATTATTGTTATTATTATTATTATTATTATTATTATTATTATTATTATTATTATTACAGTTTTCCCCTGTTTTACATTCCATCACTGATTTTTCCCCAGATTGGATTCATAATGCAGGTTACCATGGGAACATCTCCAGCAGAATCAATGGCTGCAGCTGGAAATATATTCCTTGGACTTGTAAGCAACTGTAACCATTTACAATAGTACACTAATATCAACTGTATTGATCAACTAATCTCAGTCGACTCCATTGTCTGTCCTCATCGTCATCTCTCTCATCAGGCCAACTCACCTCTCCTGATTCGTCCATATATCAGTGAGCTAACTCTCTCAGAGATCCATGCTGTGATGACAGGAGGTTTTGCCAGCATCTCTGGTACCATTTTGGGAGCCTACATCTCCTTTGGGGTGAGGAAGAGGATGTGCTGAAAGGATGGGATGTGGATTTGAAGAAGTGTTGAGATTGTCAGAGTTAGGCATATTTGGAAAGTGTTTAGGCACCCAAACTTGTCCTGTGTGCGCTTGATTAAAATTTTATTCTCGTGAATAAACTAACAAAAACAAATAAAAATACAAATAAAGGGAATAAGGGCAGACACAAGGCAAATTCATGTCAAGTCTGAATAATTAAATGGGAATTGGGAAAGTGCTAAACTACAAGCAATGAAAAGTATACACAGGGAACGCAGCAGGAAAATACAAGAGTGATTGACAAGATTTAAAAAAAAATTGGCTATAAGAAGTTCAAAGACAACCTCACATGTGATAACTGGACAGCAGTTTAACAAGAAGTTTAACGAACTGGAAAGTAATACGTGAGTATTTTCAGAAATAAAACAGAAAACTTAAATCAAGACACAATTTCTATCTTCTCAACCTTTTCTATTGACCTGGGCAGCTTAAATTTTGCAATGCAGTGGGCAGAGTTTACCCCAACATCAAAAAAAACCATCCAAAGTTATGCTCTCTATCTCGACCAGGTCTCTCTCTCAAAAGAGATTCATCTTCATGGCTGAATAAAGGTCACATTTGTTGTAATTATTAATGCTCAATTTCAAAGAGCAGGATGCAAAAAATAGAGTAATTTCTCATTTCATTTAAGGCTTGTGACTGAATTTGACAATTTGATAAAAAGAAAATGAAAAATTAATCTCTGCCATTTGTTGCCTTTCCTTTGAGGTTGATGCAACGCACTTGTTGACAGCAACAGTAATGTCTGCTCCAGCTTCCCTGGCCATTGCTAAGATGTTCTGGCCTGAAACTATAGTTTCAAGGTCCAATCGACCAGTCAAAATGGACAAGGGGTGGGTAGGAGTGATCACAGTAAACACACAGATAACTACACCATACAACATCTATTGTCTACTTGATTCAAATGGTTACAATGGTTTTCTACAGTTCAATCTTTAAATTCACTCTGTTTAAATTATTTCGCTGTTGCTTCATCCTGTCACTTCTTTCTGACTTCTTCGTCAGTGAAAGCAAGAATTTGTTGGAGGCGGCATCCCTTGGTGCATCTCGTGCAATCGCACTAGTGGCCAGCGTTTTAGCCAACATCATTGCCTTCATGGCCCTGCTGTCCTTTTTTGATGCTGTCCTCTCCTGGCTGGGAGGGATGTTCGACTGTCCACAGCTCAGCTTCTCAGTGAATATACACAAACACATACACCAACCCTCCAAAATAAACTTTATATAAATATAATAAAACACAGCTTGATGTGACTATTTTTCTATTGTTTCTGCTTCTTTGTGTCCCTTGTTTAGCTCATCTGCTCCTACGTGTTCATGCCTCTCTCCTTCATGATGGGTGTTTCCTTTGAGGACAGTTTCATTGTTGCTGAACTGATGGGCATTAAGACATTCCTTAGTGAGTTTGTGGCCTTTCAGAAGCTGTCAGAGTTGATAAACCGGAGGAAGGCAGGGGGGCCAGAATATGTGAACAATGTGAAGCAATACATTTCTGTAAGTTTTATTCATGTTCTCACTATTTCTCTTCTAATTTTTAGTTCTTTCCCTATCTGGTTTGCTCAGTATGATTAGTCACTGTTCACAAAACAGTGAATCAGTCATCTGTCATCACGATGCCATACAAAGTCAGCAGAACTTCACAGATATCAGTCTATCCAGTTAGGAAGGATAAACAACTGTGGATTCCATTAAAAAAACATTTAAAAAAAACAGGAAGTGAGAGCTATAACTAAACAGGGAAATAAAAAACATATAGAAAAACTGTTTTGTCCTTGTCCTCGAGGACAAAGACAACATCGCATTGAGACAAAAAATAATGCTCCGTGTCTCCCAGTCACGGCCCGTGCGCCATCAGTGCAGATGCCAACATATCTGTCCCACACGAGTCCATGAATGTGTCCAGCTTTGAAATATATCTACTGCAGTTGTCCTTCTGTTTACAGAACAGTATCAGACCATTCATCACTTTCCATATGACTGTCTCCAGCTATGCTAGTCACTTGGCCAGTATCCACAGATACACGTTGTTGTTGAACAATCACCTGTGCAGTCACTGGCAAATGCAGATATGAGCTGATTGGTGGTATTCGATGCGTTTCGATGCTGCACTGAATGCTTGGAGACAACTTCGACAGTCAGGTGTCAGTCAATTGGGCAAGTGACGCCTGTGAATTTTCCCAGCGCAATATTTTTGCTGAACACCAGAGGGTGGTATATACACATTTATTTACATCAAACTGTATTAGTGCAAATGTAGGCTTTTGGAATTCATGACACCCCCCCGCATACCTACAACTTCATGCGTTTTCTTTACTAGATTTATTTGCTCTGTTCCAGGTCCATTCTGAAGCCATTGCAACATACGCTTTGTGTGGATTTTCCAACATTGCTTCACTGGGGATGTCCATTGGAGCGCTGTGTGAGTGACACCTGTTACGAAAGCTGAGGAGAAAAAAAAAATAGAAAAACATTCAACTTCATGATGTTGGAAAAATTCTGAACTATATTGTAGCACACTATTTTTTGATAGTATCTCCACCACATGAACAGACTGGGGGGTGGGATGGAGGGGGTGTCCTTGATGTTTTTGGTTGGCACAACAAGGAACCCATCTGTCACATTTAAGGCAAGTTACAGTGTGTGGGCTGAATGGGCTTGTAGCTGCCAAATTCCCCTAACTCTCAAATAGACAGAAAATTATCAAAAGTTTAAACAAACGCATTTATAACTATTATTATATAAAGTAATGGGACAAGTCTAATTTGTGTGCTTGTTTTCAGTCAAAGAACAGACCGTGACTATGAAAAAATGATTACTTTAAATTAAGAAAAAACTCCACATTCATCATTTTGATGAAGTGTAGCGAAGAAGTTACAAAGATGAACAATCATGCATTTCAACGGTCCTGACATTTACAATGACAAGGCCAAACCTGATAAATGCACTTTTAAAAACATCTTCACAATTTCTTCTCCAGACACAGCTCAGGGATCCTTCAAGTATTAAAGGACTGAAAATAAGCAAAAAGTCTTGATTATAGAAGGGTAAGAAGAAAAAAACTGTCAATTTTAACTTTTCATGTCATTCTGCTGTTGTGCTCAAATGTAACAGGACAGTCTAATATAATAGTAACTTGTCCTTGGTCTACAAAGGACAAGTCTGAGGTTTGGAAGCCATGGGCATCACCAGAGAATAGATTTTCTGATGCTTTGCTGGTCCTGTGTTCAGCTGTTTGTTTGTGGGTCTTCCAGTCTGTAGTTTGACTGTCTCGGTGCTTGTAGCACTCCTGAAGCTCCTGGTTTGCTTTCACAGTATGTCTGGACTACTTGAACAGTCAATTTTATTATATTCATCTGAATCTGACCGCTGAGTTTAGCTCTATACGTGGGGCGATCGTGGCTCAAGAGTTGGGAGTTTGCCTTGCAATCGGAAGGTTGCCGGTTCGAGCCCCGGCTCGGACAGTCTCAGTCATTGTGTCCTTGGGCAAGACACTTCACCCGTTGCCTACTGGTGGTGGTCAGAGGGCCCGGTGGCGCCAGTATCCAGCAGCCTCGCCTCTGTCAGTGCGCCCCAGGGTGGCTGTGGCTACAATGTAGCTTGCCATCACCAGTGTGTGAATGACCGAATGTGTAAAGCGCTTTGGGGTCCTTAGGGACTAGTAAAGCGCTATACAAATACAGGCCATTTACCAGGCCATTTTTATATGTGTCAGAATTGCTTCTTTCTCCTATCAAATCCTCAATAAGCACAGGTGAAACTCAGCTGCATCAATCTGCTACCGTTTGTTTCTCAATAACCTCCCACCGCCATCCTTCAGGTAAAAGTTGCCCACCACCTGTAAGGTTGGCTGAGTGATGTTGAGGGGTTTTTCTTTACAATAGGATCGTGTGATTCACCACTGTTGTCTTACCTGAATGTCCTTATCTTTTTATGTTGCACAGCTCACCTGTGTGATCCTTTTCCCAGAATGTTCCCACTATCTGTCTTATGGAAATAGCTGTTTTGTTGCCTATTTCACCCCCACTGAGAGCTCCTTCCCTCACACCTGTCCATGAAACAGCTTTTTAGGGAATAGTCCAATTACATTTGCACCTTGTATAAAACTGCCTTTAATTCCTCTAATCATTTTAACCCGCTGAACTACAGCTGAAGGTCTGAATTTCCATTTCACACTGATTGCTGGTTCAAACATACTGTAGAAGCACAGAGCCAAAGTTATAAACAAAATGTCCCTATGAAATTTAAACACCTAACTGTACGGCATAATTGTTCTTTCCCCAGCTGCCATGGCTCCAGACAGACGATCTGATTTCTCCAGCTGTGGCCTCAGAGCTCTGATTGCAGGCAGCATCTCTTGCTTCATGACAGCTTGTATCGCAGGTAACATCTGTTCTTCAGCCAGGCTTGATGTTCTCGGTAATAAAGTATTATGTTTGATATATTTCCTCATCAAGTACAAATATCTTTATTGGATCAAACAACTACTTCTACAGAAAGTGTGCATTAAATTTTCAGCAACTGTATATTAACCTTGTATACTGACATTGTTCTTAGTTCAAAAACATTTATTTTAGCTTTTACAACTGCAGAGTTTTAAGCACATTATTAAATTTACTATTTAAAAATCAGTTCAAATCCAGCTTTTTAGTAAGTACCTGAGAGTTTGAGGGTTAAATAATACAATTAAGCATTATACTAACACTATATTTACTTACTTGGCATGTAATAATTTATCTTTATCTGTAAAATATTCCTTAATTAAGATTTAGTCATTATTCATTGTTAACTATTCAGGAATCAGTCACCTTAGTGTCAAATGTTTCTTTATATCCTACATGAAAATAGGCTATACAGGGAGTGCAGAATTATTAGGCAAATGAGTATTTTGTCCACATCATCCTCTTCATGCATGTTGTCTTACTCCAAGCTGTATAGGCTCAAAAGCCTACTACCAGTTAAGCATATTAGGTGATGTGCATCTCTGTAATGAGAAGGGGTGTGGTCTAATGACATCAACACCCTATATCAGGTGTGCATAATTATTAGCAACTTCCTTTCCTTTGGCAAAATGGGTCAAAAGAAGGACTTGACAGGCTCAGAAAAGTCAAAAATAGTGAGATATCTTGCAGAGGGATGCAGCAGTCTCAAAATTGCAAAGCTTCTGAAGCGTGATCATCGAACAATCAAGCGTTTCATTCAAAATAGTCAACAGGGTCGCAAGAAGCGTGTGGAAAAACCAAGGCGCAAAATAAATGCCCATGAACCGAGAAAAGTCAAGCGTGCATCTGCCAAAATGCCACTTGCCACCAGTTTGGCCATATTTCAGAGCTGCAACATCACTGGAGTGCCCAAAAGCACAAGGTGTGCAATACTCAGAGACATGGCCAAGGTAAGAAAGGCTGAAAGACGACCACCACTGAACAAAACACACAAGCTGAAACGTCAAGACTGGGTCAAGAAATATCTCAAGACTGATTTTTCTAAGGTTTTATGGACTGATGAAATGAGAGTGAGTCTTGATGGGCCAGATGGATGGGCCCGTGGCTGGATTGGTAAAGGGCAGAGAGCTCCAGTCCGACTCAGACGCCAGCAAGGTGGAGGTGGAGTACTGGTTTGGGCTGGTATCATCAAAGATGAGCTTGTGGGGCCTTTTCGGGTTGAGGATGGAGTCAAGCTCAACTCCCAGTCCTACTGCCAGTTTCTGGAAGACACCTTCTTCAAGCAGTGGTACAGGAAGAAGTCTGCATCCTTCAAGAAAAACATGATTTTCATGCAGGACAATGCTCCATCACACGCGTCCAAGTACTCCACAGCGTGGCTGGCAAGAAAGGGTATAAAAGAAAAAAAACTAATGACATGGCCTCCTTGTTCACCTGATCTGAACCCCATTGAGAACCTGTGGTCCATCATCAAATGTGAGATTTACAAGGAGGGAAAACAGTGCACCTCTCTGAACAGTGTCTGGGAGGCTGTGGTTGCTGCTGCACGCAATGTTGATGGTGAACAGATCAAAACACTGACAGAATCCATGGATGGCAGGCTTTTGAGTGTCCTTGCAAAGAAAGGTGGCTATATTGGTCGCTGATTTGTTTTTGTTTTGTTTTTGAATGTCAGAAATGTATATTTGTGAATGTGGAGATGTTATATTGGTTTCACTGGTAAAAATAAATTGAAATGGGTATATATTTGTTTTTTGTTAAGTTGCCTAATAATTCTGCACAGTAATAGTCACCTGCACACACAGATATCCCCCTAAAATAGCTAAAACTAAAAACAAACTAAAAACTACTTCCAAAAACATTCAGCTTTGATATTAATGAGTTTTTTGGGTTCATTGAGAACATGGTTGTTGTTCAATAATAAAATTATTCCTCAAAAATACAACTTGCCTAATAATTCTGCACTCCCTGTAGTTCAATGGGTGAAATATGTCATTACATACTACATAATACTGACAATTCATTCATTCATTTTCATTCATTCATTCATTTATTTGTTCATTTCCAGGCACAACAAATACCTATATTGAACATAAAATGCACAAAACAAAAAACAAAAATTGCCTGAAAAAGGAGTGGGACGAAGAAAACTTATTAAATCCCACCCCTATACTCACTCATCAACAAAAAAACAAAAAAACAAAACAAAACAATATACTTCCCGCAGCTACGCCCATTATTGCATACAGTCCCATCAACAGCCCCGGGCGCATACAAGCATCTAAACTGCAGCTCGCAAGCAACAATTAGAGCCTTCATAACTGAATACAGAATATATAAATTATAAATTACATTACCACAGGTAACAGGCAGTAATAACTACAAGTAACAAACACACACATACACACATACATATACATACATATATATCTACACACACATGTACATATATGTACATACATACGCACAGTCTTTTTTTTTTCTTTTTTTTTTTGAATCCATACCAGCAATGGTAAGAGAACAGACATTACAGAGCACACTAAAAAACCATCATTGAGTATACTGTGACCAGACCAACTGTTTGTAGAGAAATTTAAATCTATGAATATTTTTGCATTGTTTCAATTGTAAACTCAGACTGTTCCAGATTTTCACACCACATACAGACACACAAAAACCTTTACGGGTTGTTCGAGTTCTGGGTAATTTGAATTCTCCAAATCCTCTAACATTATAAACCTTTTCTCGAATTTCAAATCTAGTTTGTAAATTTGCCGGTAAAAGTTTAGTAAAAGCTTTATACAAAATTATGGATGTATTGTAATTAACCAGATCCTGGAATTTAAGTAACTTTGCCTGAAGAAAGAATTTGTGAGTATGATCTAGATAACCAGCCTTGTGAATTATACGCAGTGCTCGTTTCTGTACTGTGACTAATGGATTAGTTGTATTTTTATATGTGTTTCCCCACACTTCCACACAATATGTAAGATATGGAAGAACCAGGGTACAGTACAGAGTACGAAGTGCATCTTTATCAAGGAATTGTTTCACTTTGTTCAAAACTGCGAGGCTTCTGGAAATTTTGGTTTTTATGTGTCTGACGTGGGGTTTCCATGAAATTTTGTTATCAATTACGACTCCCAAAAATTTGTTTTCACTCACATTATCAATTGGTACACCTTCAATGATAATTGGTAATTCTACATTATATTTAAAATTACCAAAAAACATTGCTTTAGTTTTATTTATATTTAATGATAATTTATTTATGTCCATCCATTTTTTTATTAATTGTAGCTCCCTGTTTACAGTCATTACAAGATGAGTATAATCATCGCTACTGAAAAATATGTTGGTGTCATCTGCGAACAGTATGAGTTTAAGTACTTGAGAAACATCAAAAATATCATTTATGTATACATTGAAAAGTTTTGGTCCCAACACTGACCCTTGGGGAACACCACATGTAATACCAAGTTTCTCTGAATGGTAATGCCCTATGCTAACATATTGTTCCCAACCCGTTAGATAACTTTTTAACCAGTTACCAGCTTTCCCTCGAATACCATATCTTTCCAATTTATCCAATAAAATTGAGTGATTGATTGTGTCGAAGGCCTTTTTGAGATCAACAAAAATACCAACTGCATATTTATTTTTGTCCAGTGCATCAGTAATTTCTTCTACTGCCTCAATTATCGCCATTGAAGTGGTTCTTTGTGTTCTGAAACCATACTGACCAACATTTATTATTTGATGTTTTTCAAGGAATTTTTGTAATCTTGAATTAAAAAGTTTTTCTAGAATTTTTGAGAATTGAGGCAGTAGAGAAATAGGCCTATAATTGGTAAAACTGTGTTTGTCATTACTTTTATATAGTGGTATTACTTTCGCAATTTTCTTTTTTTTGGAAAACAACCGGACTGAAATGATAAATTACAGATATATGTTAAGGGACTAGCAATATTCAGAATAACCTGTTTAACTACAGACATATTTATGTCATGATAATCCATTGAACACTTACTTTTACATTTTAATGTGATATTTATTACTTCTTGCTCATTTGTAGCTGAGAGGAACAGTGAAAAGGGATTTGATTTTATATTGCTGATATTTTCATTTTTATGACACGGGATGTCCGCTGCTAGTTCAGGGCCAACATTTATGAAGAATTTATTGAACCCATCGACAATATTACTCATGTTGTGATTTTCACCATTTGCATCAGTAAAATATTCAGGATATGATGTTCCAGAAGCTCCTTGTTTAATTAAGTTGTTTAACACATCCCAAGTTCCTTTTATATTGTTTTTATTTTCATATAATCTTCTTCTATAATAAAGTTGTTTGCTCGTTCTTATAATATCAGTCAATTTATTTCTATATGCTTTATATCTTTGTTCCACTTCTTTTGTTTTTACTTTGATAAACTGTTTATACAGATTGTTTTTCTTTTTGCAAGCATTAATAATTCCTTTTGTGAGCCAAGGACTTTTTATCTTTTTTTTCTTTGTCATGTGTTCGTTTACAGGACAATGTTTATTGTACCACATAGTAAAAATATCTAGGAAATTGTCATAAGCCTTGTCCACATCTGACTCTTCATACACCGAACTCCAATCTTGTTGTGCTAAATCGAAATTGAAGGCATGAATTGCTTCTTCATTTATTGTTCGCTTTGCTATCATGATCTTGGTATCTATTTTTTTAAAATCACAGTCACACAAAGTAAAAACTGGTAAGTGGTCAGTTATATCACAGACAAGCAGGCCACTATTAATTTGGAAATCCATGACATTAGTAAAAATATTGTCAATAATAGTGGCGCTATGTGATGTTATTCTGCTTGGCTTTGTTATTGTTGGATATAGTGATAAGCTGTACATCGTGTCAGTAAAATCATCAATGGCTTTTAACCTTGTTGGGTTTAGCAAATCAATATTAAAATCACCACAGATAAATAGTAATTTTTGGTTCACCGAAGCAAACGTTTTTTCTATCCATTCATTAAAAGTGTCAATACTTGAACTGGGTGTCCGATATATGCAACTTATTATAACATTTCTCTTTTTTTCATTCATGATCTCAATAGTCAAACATTCCAAAATTCCATCAATAGCCATAGACATAGTTGTTACAACATTATATTTTATAGAGTTATGAACATATATAGCAACCCCGCCGCCCCCTTATTTAATCTATTCATGTTTTTTAAATCATATCCATTCAAACAAAAATCTATTCCTTTATCGACATTGAACCAAGTTTCAGTGATGGCTATAACACTAAAGGGGCGAGAAAATTGTTGCAAATAGTCCTTAATGAAATCAAAATTAGAGTACATACTTCTGCTGTTAAAGTGAATTAATGAGAGCTTCCCGTCTAGGTTAATTTCTTTTTCATATTGTTCCTGAGTGAAATAATTACAATTTTTAACAAAAGTAGAGAGAAAGTTACTTCCAGAATCTATTTCTGGATCTATTATATTATGCTCCTTATATTCACAATCTAGATCAATTACTTTCTGTTGAAGAATTAATTTCAACATGTCCATGTCATTTCCTGGTGTAATTAGAGATGTTGGTATATTTATCATTTGATTGTCATTAGAGTTATATATTACCTCGATACATTAGTGTCAGTTGTACTTGTCCAGATCCTCCATGTTCCTCACTATCAGTACTTTTGCCTCTTCTGGTGTCCCGTTTAGCTTAATGAAAATCTTACAGTTTGTTACCCATGTATGTTGTATTTTACCATTCTTCTTCAGTTGCCTTGCCTTCCTCGCGATGTCTGCGTTTTTTCGTGTCAGATGCTCATTAATGAAAACATCCGTGCCTTTCAGTTTGCGTCCTTGTTTCAGCACTGCGACCTTGTTCTTCCGATTGACAAATCTCATAACGACGGCCGGCGGTCTGTCACAATACACAACAAGAAACATTTATTGATAGTACACTAAAATATACACTTTGCAAAAATGTACATTTTAAAGTACTTTTGATCAATCTTCAACATTTCTGCGTACAATTTAATAAGTACTTTCAATTTATCTTCATCTGCATCTTTATGTGCATTTTTATACAGTGATCTGGCATAACAGAATTATTTTTAAAATGTAACATTTTGAGCTACATTGAATTGATTCCTAAATCTTTAAATCTTCCAAATGTATCTGTTTGGCATATTTTATAAAAGCAAATAATAAACCTACATACATAACATTTAAAACCACAACTCGGATTTTTGTTTTGTTTTAGGTATGTTGTACATCCCTGATTCTGAGTGCCCACATTTGCTGAGTGTAGAGTTCAACAACACCAGCATGACCAACAGCTCACAGATGCACGCCTGCTGCACAGAGCTGTATAACAGGTGTGTGTGTGTTTATTACTGTTTATTACTGTTGCCCAGTTAAAACGATATTACAACTCACTCATCTGACCAAGTGGACATTTTCTCGTGCATGTGTGTGTGTTTCATTTGCAGTGTGACAGTGTATGAGCCATGGAACGTGACAACAGGGGACGGATTCAGTCAGAGCAGTCTGCTGGGCTGCTGCACGCTCACGCCGTCTGAACTTTTCAACTGCAGCCTTATGCTGTAAATCACACACTCCAGTGCTACAGAGATGTGCTGTTTATAGGTTAAATCCTTTTTAGGGTGTTTTCCTTTTTTTAAGTTAAGTTTTCTTTCACAAAAAAAACTTAAAAATGAAACATGCCAAAAACGTCCTTTTACCCACACTTTTTGCATTGTTTTATAATGATAGTTTAAAATATAGTGGCTTTTTTGTCATATATCCTTTTCTTACTTCTATTACTATATAGTTTGAAAATAATACATTTGCACTTTAATATTTCTTTTTTTCTTTTTTTTACTTTTATTTTGTTTCTACGTTGTAGCAATCATTATGTAAACAATCATTTCAAACTGCTCTGATGTGATTGATATTTTCTATGTCTGTACATGTGTTTCTAAAGCTTGTCAGTTTCTAAATAGTGCAAAAATCTCATGGTACAAAAAACTATATCAGAGTCATTTCCAGCACAAAAATGAGAAAAACTTGCAAAACCTGCTTAATTACAAGCTTGACAGAGAGGATCTAACCTATAACAACTTGATCCTGCCTTGCCTGGAGTGGTGAACTTTTCAGTAATGGCACACTGATTAGCCACTAGATGTCACTGGTGTCTTTTGGTTCCTGTTTAGCAACCTAAACGCTGGATATATCAGGTCATTATGTAGGCACACTGGTTTGACTGGCAGATTGTCCAAGAATCTGGCTCATTACAGCTTTACTGAATTGCTAAAGCACTAAATCCCACTCTGAGAGGCACATGGTCATATTTATTTTTTGTAATGCTCTCTTAATAATACCTATTTTCACAGTGAGAGACTTCCAATGCCTTCCAATTAAACACAAGTAAAACAACCATCTCAGTACTTACACTCAGTTTCTCAAAACTGTTAAAACCAATACAATACAATACATATATGCACCCATTTTCAGCAGATTCTCTATGGCTTCTATAACCAGGACATTGAGACCAGGAGACTCTTCTGTTCTCCCAACAACAACAGGTTCTCATTATTGACAAAGTCCTTTAAAAACACATTTCTTGAACACATAAACATAGATGCAAAATTTGAAGGAATCAGCGGGAATTGGCATGTTCCCAAGCAACACTTTGTCCTATTTGAGCAGGAAACACGTCAAAGCCTGGTGTCTGGTCTCAAGGTGCACAAAGACTTGTAACTTTGGCTAACCAGGAATGTTTAAAGTTACTGGATTTTCATTAATTAACTCTGGATCTTTTTTGCTGTAATGTATTTTTTCACTCTGTGCGTTCAAGATTGCCTCTGGCATTTGCATACTGTAAACATGTTTGCCTATATCTTTGTAATAAAGTGCTTTTTATTCATTCATTCACAGTTAGCTGGAAAATCTGTACGTCAAATCTGTTTTTGATCTAGCTGGTAGTCATATCCCAGTAGAGTTTTTACCCTCTCTGTCTGTATGATCAGAAAACAACGTTGGATTTTTTTAGCAAAGATAAAAAATGTTGAGTTAAATATGATCTTGCCAGAAGTCGCATTCGAAGTGAGTGTAATCTGAAAATGTGATTCTGAACTTTACGGTTTTGAGAAAAACGATGGGGGATTTCAGGAAATGTGAAACAGAACAAAGAGGAAGATATCATGGCTGTACATTTACAACATCTGCATGTGTGAGATGAGCATGCAATCATGGAGATCACAAATGACAGTCTCTTCATTAATTCCAGCACAAGCAAAAGGTCAGATGGCTCCCTTCTCGGTGGGCAGGAGGTGTGTTCACATGTGCGAATTTCACACACCCACAAAGAGGGAACATTGAACTCAGCCATGAGACACTGACATATAGGGCATGTTTAGGCTCCATCTTAACATTTGCACCTCTAAAAAAAAAGAAAACATGCATCGTTCATTTTGTCTTCATTTTCAGGGAAATCGGTGTGTTTAAAACGAGCCGTTTAGTTTAGACGACTTTTCTGCATCTGTAATATATAACAAAAGGAGACAATTTACATTTTTCCTTGTTAACTAATTATAGGAATAATCTCACCAATTTAATAACATTTTTCTTTGGCACACCATGACCAGCTATGTTTAGCTGAGTTTACTGTCACTGGTCAAAGAAATGCATGTTAAAAAAATTATTCTGGTTTTATCCAGGTACTGAAAAACAGCTTTGTGGCTAATACTGGCATATTAAAAAAATATTATGGCACATTATTATTTTTTTTATGAGCTAGTTTAAAGATATTCAAAAAGAAGTGAAATTAGTAAATATCTTTGGCTGCTCTAAAAGATGCACACACACACCCACACACCCACATACACACAAACAAACAAACCATCAAATGGAGAGAATAAACTCACCCTACAAGTTTCTTCTCCTTGAATCCTCTGAGATTTAAATCATTTTCATTTTCAAAACACGTTAATCAAACTTATCGTACAATAAAGTAAGAAAGATCTGATCTAAAAATGAGGCTGTGTATATTTACTGTATATAGCAGACATTCAGCAGCCCTCTTTGTACAGCCAAGTTCTCCCTCTAACTTAATCAGTTCTTAAAAATTGTTTTGTAACACTATGCATGGTTTGCTGGAAGGCTGTGTGGAAATTATATCATATATATCCAATTGTACATATATATATATTTAACAACCTAACTATGGGTTTTTAATCTGACTTACTTACCGAACTTACTTTGTGTTTGAGAGCTTTATCATCAAATCTGTAACAAATTTCACTCTTTAACTTGTATGTTTAGTTGATTTGAGTGTGAGGTTTTTCTCAATGTATTTTTTTTATTATTTCTTTTATAAAATGTAATAATTAAAACAGAATCAGAGATATATTCTACTCTTAAATCAGGATTGGCATCAAAGCATATCAACTGAACAGGAAACCAACTTTGACCAGGGGGGCAAATTTAGCTTATTATTTCATTAAGAAACATTTTTTAAAAAGTGAAAATTTATTTGCAGTCACACAAAATGTGCAGAGGCACAAAAGGTAAATGTACATTTAAACCAGTGCCATAAAAGTTAATCCCACATAATCATACACTGGGCCACCTTTACAGACGTGCACAAAATTCAAACATGCACAACTTGCTTTAAATCACATTATGAACAAGTATCCACACACGTGTGGTGTGCTCACAGAGAAACAAAGAGCCATAGTTATGAAAGCTATAAAAGTGCAAACGTATGTGTCGTTGACTGCATAGCGTGCAAAGCAGGAGAGACATTTTCTCTAGGTGCCGATTTGGATTGATGATCTCACCACACACTGAGATGGTTGGGGTCGCTAACTGTAAGTTCAGAACATCCTCAACACGTTTCCATTTATTTAACAATTTTCATGTGAGACCGTGCATGAATTGATGAATGACCTCCTCTGAGTTTAAAAGAAACTTGAGTACTAACAAGAGTCTCACTTTCAAAGGCCCACAGGCTCCAAAGTCCTCCTCAAACATGCTCCAGAACTGCTGCACATTCACGAAGCTACTATTAACTGAATTGTAAACTTGAGCTGTTAATTGTTAAAAATCTTAGATTTTACTTTGGGTTAGGGTTCTTTTAGCACCATGAATCTAGCATTTAAGTTAGCTATTGGAAAACTAATGCTAGCTATCCGTTATCAAGCTACAGTTAGCTAAAACGTTTCCAAACACAGCTCTACTTTTAACTTTGAATATTATAACAGCCTAAAATTTATGTTTAGATATTTGACTTATCTAAACATCTACTCCGTGTAAATGTAACCATAGTGAACATAAGGATCCCACAGCTTACCTGTTCTTACTGCTGCATGTCTTATCATTAGCTTTCACTTTTGAATCTTGCCAGGCTCAATTTCACACTTTGGCAGCTTATAGAAAATATTTTTGTCCTTTACTTTGATTTTTTTTGTTAAAGTCAGAGCCACAAATAGTTTTCCCCTCTTTGGGACGCTTAGAACTAACTGTATTTTGCCTCTACGGTGGACATTGATGTCACACAATGCTTTAAGATCAGCTTGGTCACAGAAATCCAACAGCACCATGTTGTTTAAAAACTAGAAACATGTTTTTCTGATTTCAAGTTACTTCAATAGATGACCTCCAATATTTGCCATATTGGTGAAACTGAATTGAAGATAAGGCGACTGTCCTATGATTTAAGGAGCGACCACAGCCTCCAAAAGCAGAAGAAGAAGAGGAAGAAGAAAAAGAGGATGATAAGATGATGATAAATGGGAGAAGGTAGAAAAACTATGGGTGTCTAGAAAGCTTTGCAGCCTGGCCCCCAAATGGTTTCACTAAAATGCTTTTGATGCAATGTGCATTTTACAGTGTAACCTTGTGAATTGAAAATCGAGGAAATGAAAATCGAGATCTTGAAAACAAAACAGAGCTACAAAAACCTTCTTGAAAGCAAATTTGCTGCAAAAAATTTTGGGTCTGCCTGGACTTGTATGAAAACCATAGCAGGGTTTCAAAATCCCCAGAGCAGTAGTCAGGTCATTTTAGATGGTTTTAATTCAGACAGAGATTTTGCAAATGCTTTAAACATGTTTTATGCTCGTTTTAGTTCTTCTGATTTTAGCGAGGATATTTTGGAAGTGAAACAGAAACTGAGAGATACTCAGCACTTTATCATTGAACTCAGCGATGTTAAAAAGGCCTTTCATACAGTTAATGTGAACAAGAGCCAGGGTCCTGATAATATTAGTGGCCGCCTAATTAAATCTTGTGCTGATGAACTCAGTCCTATATTTCAGGTTATTTTTAATCAATCCTTGCAAACACAACATGTGCCCTCTCTTTGGAAAGAAGCAGTCGTGGTTCCTGTCCCTAAATCTAGTCGTCCAAAAATTCTAAACGACTTCAGGCCTGTTGCCCTCACTTCAGTTGTAATGAAAGTCTTTGAAAAAATGTGATTATGAAAGAGACTGAACATCAGCTGGATCCAATGCAGTTTGCATATAGGCCCAACAGAGGAGTGGAGGACGCACTTTTGACTTTACTAAATCTAATTCTTAAACATGTAGAGAGTAAAGGGACTTTTGCAAGACTTCTTTTCATTGATTTTTCTTCGGCTTTTAATACAATGCAGCCCCATATTAATTAAAAGACTTTTAGAACAGTTTGAAATCAGGAAAAACCTGGTGGGCTGGATTTTAGATTTTTTTAACTGACAGGTCACAAAGAGTGAGAATAAATGGGGTTCTGTCTGACCCAGTGTTCTCCTCCACAGGTTCTCCTCAAGGGTGCGTCCTATCGCCCTTATTATTCACTCTCTATACAAATATGTGTCAGGGCAGACATGAAAACAGGGTCATTATTAAATATGCAGATGACTCTGTTATTGTCAGCTTACTGAAAGAGGGTGAAATTAACCACGGTCCAGTCATTGATGACTTTGTTCAGTGGTGTGAGGAGTCTTATCTCCAGCTGAACATATCTAAAACAAAAGATATGGTTGTTGATTTTAGGAAACAACAAAATGGGCACGGAGTCACTTTAATTAAAGGTCAGAAAATAGAGCAAGTACAATCATATAAATATCTTGGGACCATAATAAATGAAAAACTGAACTTTGATCAAAATTGCAAATCAGTTTGTAAAAAGGGTCACCAGCACCTTTATTGTCTTAGGAAACTTGTTCATTTCCACATTGACCAAAAAATTTTAACTTTGTTTTATCGTTCTTTTATTGAGTCTGTTTTATCCTTTTGTTTGGTGTGGCCAGACCTCTGTCACAGAGAAAAATTCTCTAAATCAGATAGTGAGATGGTCCAGTCGTCTGATAGGTGAGCCACAGTCTTGTTTAGCCTCCCTGTACTCTAAGCAGGTACAGAGGATGGCTTTATCAATCCTTAAAAATGGTTCCCATCCTCTAAGGGGTGAATTTCAGCTTCTTCCCTCAGGACGGAGGTTTCTATTTCCGAGATGCAGGACAAAGCGTTATAAAAATAGCTTTGTCCCCGTTGCTGTCACTGAATTAAATAAGAACTGTTTTTGATTCGAAATACTAAAATTACTATATATGTGCCACAGTGAGCTTTATATATTTACTAGGTATGTGTGTGGGGGGTTTTTTTTGTTTGTTTGTTTTAGGGATGCCAAATGCTGTCATTTTTCTGTAAAGCAAATTTACCTTGTCTTTGGGTATAAATAAAGTTACCTTGACCTTGACCTTGTGGGAAGTAACAGCTGGTCAATTTCAAAAACCAAAAGAGAAGGGAAAGCAAATTCTACCGAGAACATTTCTGTAAGTACGAGGTACGTCCAATCTCAAAAAAAAAAGAAAAGAAAAGAAATTTCCTGCAGCAGCAGAGAGGACATTCAAGGATTAATGGAAAGATAAAGATGGATAGATGAAAAGGCC